GGGGTGGCAGGTGAGAGCTGGAAGCTGTATGCAGATTTGGTGTAAATATTTGGAGGTTGATAGATTTTCTCCCTTCTCCATTTCTAGAGGTGATGGCTTTCCATCCCCAGGTATTGTTGAGTTGAGGAAGCCATAGTGTGGCTTAAAGACTCCTGCTGTCCTGGCACGGCACTGAGCTCCTGGAGAGTTAGCCAGACTGAGACATGCTCTGTGTGCTTAGAAAACCTGTAATGGGTCAGGAAAGGAAATCGGGCGTGACAACACTGTGTGATTGTGTAATGCAAAATCAATTGCAACTTAGAGATGGGAGGAGGGAAAGAAAGAATCAGGAAAGGTGATTTGGTAGTTGCTTAATACAGTGGGAGAGGATTAAGTTCTGAGACAATGGTAGTTCATTTTTATGTTTTTTAAATTTTGTTTTAGATTTGTTTAGAAAAAGTCACAGAAAAAGAGTAAAAGATCTTATATTCACTAATTCACTCCACAAATGACTATCACACCTAAGGCTTGGCCAGGTCAAACCAGAAGCCTGGAACCTGATGTGGGTGGCAGGGACCCTAATACTTGTGCCATCATCTGCTGCTGTCCTAGGCCACTGGAGGGAGCTGGATTAAGAATGGAGCAGCTGGGCCCGGCGCAGTGGCGCAAGTGGTTAAGGTCCTTGCCAGGCACGCCCAGGATCCCATATGGGCCCCGGTTCTATCCCGGTGGCCCTGCTTCCCATCCGGCTCCCTGCCTGTGGCCTGGGAAAGCAGTCAAGGACGGCCCAAAGCTTTGGGACCCTTCACCCGTGTGGAAGACCTGGAAGAGACTCCTGGCTTCGGATCAGCATAGCATCGGCCATTGTGTTCACTTGGGGAGTGAATCATCAGACGGAAGATCTTCCTCTCTGTCTCTCCTCTCTGTATATCCGCCTTTCCAATCAAAATTTTTTTTAAAATTAAAAAAAAAAAAGAATGGAGCAGCTGGGCCCGGCGCAATCGCATAGTTGGTTAAAGTCTTTGCCTTGAACGAGCCGGGATTCCATATGGTCACTGATTCTAATCCCAGCGGTCCTGCTTCCCATCCAGCTCCCTGCTTGTGGCCTGGGAAAGCAGTTGAGGACAGCCCAAAGCCTTGGGACCCTTCACCCATGTCAGAGACCTGGAAGAAGTTCATTGCTCCTGACTTCGGATTGGCTCAGCTCCAGCTATTGTAGCCACTTGGGGAGTGAACCATCGGACAGAGATCTTCCTCTCTGTCTCTCCTCTTCTCTGTATATCTGTCTTTCCAATAAAAATAAATAAATCTTTAAAAAAAACTTTCCAATAAAAATAAATAAATCTTTAAAAAAAACTTTCCAATAAAAATAAATAAATCTTTAAAAAAAATAACAAAGAATGGAGCAGCTGAGACTTAACCAGTGCTCTCTTGGATTGTCAGCATCATAAGTAGTGGCTTAACCTACTGCGCCACAATGTTAACCCCATGGCAGCTCATTTTTTGATGGGTTTTGACCTTGGATCAGTCTGTAGTAGAATATCTTGTCTCTGCATTCCCTTAACACACTGTCTTTTCCCCATGGTGATTTATCTGTTGGGTAAAAATGAGTATCTGCATTTAATGCTGAGGTATATTTTAATGCTGTAGGATTTGCAATGTTTATCCCCAACATCATTGAGCATAGGACACTTCTTAGAAATGTTACTGTATTTATATCTGTTAGAAAGTGGTAATTTGTGTTTGCGTGAGCTGAAGTTTCAGAAACGACTATAAATATGGAATGTTATGCATATAATGTTAATGATTGTCTTTGTCGCTTGAATTCAGTGGGCGTCTCAAGCAGATAGGCTCATTCCTAAACAGCAAAGGAGAAAAGAACTTTTGCGCACTTGAGTTGTCAGATGAGGCATCTTTTCGTTTGGTCATTCTGCAAACATTCGCTTCCTCTCTGCGTGGCTACTTTCCCTTGAGGGTTCAGATGGCCCCTGTTGGCAGGTAGACAGCAGAGCGAATTCTGTTCATAGAATGTGATTTAATATGTTGAATGACAGTTGGTGCTGTGTCAGTCTGCCTGGGAAAGGGATTAGTGGTGGCGAAAATGAGCTGTACTGGTTGTGACAACATCTTAGATGGCTTTGAAAGGTAACTTTAGAGCTTGCGTCTCAAGTGTCCCAGAGTCACTTCTCATGAACAGGTTTCATTCTCCCAGTTGAAATGAGTCAGGGAGTAGGCTGGTACCAGACTGGCAACCTCTGCTTTTGCCTTGTCATGCACAGCCTGCACTGCAGTCTGGGAAAACAGCCTTGGAAAACTAAGGACTGTAATGTAGGCTTTTTGAGCCAGGATAGACTTATGCTCAACTCATGTTAAGGCTGCCCTGCTTTGGAACTGCTAGCGTTTTGTTGCTGCTGGCTGAGCTTGGAATTGGTAGCTGTCCCACAGGTCCCTGCTTAGGGCCTACTCTCTTGGAGATCCTTGCTGGGATCCCATGGGTATGTTCTGGCTTTTGAAGGGAGTCTTGCTCAGGAACGATAAGGGAACCCCGGAAGGGGCTTGGGAAAGGCGGAGCTACAGCGTCTCCATGCCCACCCTTGGGCTCCTTTGCAAAGCAGAAGTGGATGGAGTTGAGCTTTCCAGGCACAAGGAAAGAAGCAAGCAGCCTTTGTTCCAATATGGACTGTATCCCAGAAAGGAAACAAATCAAAAGAAAGCCATAGCTGTGGTCTAACAGTGGGTTTTGGTTCATTGGCCTGAAAATTGGCCCTTCTATCAGAGCCGAGTTTCTCCAATTAGCTACAGGCTCTGATGGTGAAAGGCTGTGGAAAAAGTGACTTCACGACAGGAGCAGGCGCCCAGTGTCCCACGCTGTGCGTTTGTGGATGTGAGCAGTGTACGGCTTACAGGAAGGTTTAGACCAGGGGGAGGACCTGTCTGTGGGGCAGCGGGCTTTCCTCTTTCTGTGCCGTATTGCCCTTACTTTCATGCAGGGCACTGAAAGAAAGGACTCAGAATCTTATGCACAAAGCCATCTTAGTGCTTCTCTCCTCGTGACACCCATAAACATTCTTCTCTTCAGCCCTAGCCTCCAGCTAGCCTCCATCTCCTGCTCCCTAGAATCCTGCTTCTGTAGATCTTCTTTTCCAATTGTGAATGGAGTCAGGGCACAAATAAGAATAATTTTGTACAATGGATTTTCAAGGTCAGCCTCTCGGAGATCTGCTCAGTTCAGAGCCTAGGACTTTGTCTGGGCTTCCGTGTCAGGAGAGTTGACATCCTTGTGAGATGGCTGCCTTAGAGGAAGGTCTCTGTTTCTGGAGTCCCTGAGATCCCTGTCTTGAGGACCTAAGGTCAAGGCTGAGGAAAGACTCCATTAGCCAGAAGCTGTGGGGGGCTGGGGCTGGGGGGCTCCGAGTTATGCTGTCCTTTGCTTTTTGTGGCAGGTACTAGAGCAACCGTTGTGACTCATCCCTTGTAAAATCAAGGCTGGCTCCTGCAGGACACCTTGGAAAAGTTAATGTTTAACGAGGGCCGTGGGTTTGGGTGAAGGGCCAAGCTCTGATGGGTGCCGTTGAAGTGTGTTTTATGGTGTCGGGGAAACCAGGGAAGCAAGGTGTCCACCTGAGGAAACAGCCACTCCCAGGAGCTCTCTTTACAGTCTTTGGTGTTTTATATATGATTCCGTATGTGTACAAATGACATTGAACATATGTGATACGGTCATCTGCTGTTAATACACAAATCCTGCGAATTGTTTAGGAAATGCCTTTTTATTCTGGCTTGAATTCATTGTCTGTAGTCACGATAGGGGCCTTTCTAAACTTCCTTCCTAATTGTCCATAGGGAAAAAGAAAGTTTCCTGTTATTAGGATTGTATTATGCTGGGCTGTTGGAAATTGTAATTCCAGGGGCTGGCATTGTGGTGCAGTGGGTTATGTTGTCACCTGTGGCACTGAACGCTCACATGGCTCCCAGTTTGAGTCCTGGCTGCTCCATTCCTGGCTAGCTCTCTGCTTATGCACCGGCAAAGCAGCAGAACACGTCCCCCAAGTGCCTTAGTGCCTGCCAACCATGTGAGACCCTGATGGAATTACAGGTTCCTGACTTTAACCTAGTTCAGCCCTGGCTGGTGCAGCCATTTGGAGAGTGAGTTAGGTTTAGTAGATATATTTCTTTCTTTCTTACCCAACCTACTGCCCTGTCATGCCCCATCACTCTGACTTTCAAGTAAATCCTTAAAAAGAGGAAATAATGCTTACAGGATGCCAGCTGAGAAGACAGGGCCTGTTTTCATGTCATATAGTTGATCAGCTCCGAACACTGACTTTAGTGCATAAAGAACCAACAATGGACTAGAAGGTGAGAGGTCTTTCCCTGCTCTGAGCTGCTCTTAATGCTGTTGTTAAAGGGGAAGATTAGAAGGTCACTCTTAAGACTTCCCCTTCCATTTGATCTGATGTTGATCATTATATCTTTGTGGGGAAAACACAGTTGTTATCTGTGGTTTGTTTTAACTATCCTCAGTAAAAATTAGGAGACTGGTGCCATGGCATGATAAGCCAACTTCTGCTTGTGGCACTGGCATCCCTTATGGGTGCCGATTTGAATCCCTGCTGCTCTACCTCATAGCCACTTCCTTACTTGTATCCTGGGAAAGCAGCAGAGGATGGCTGAAGTCCTTGGTCCCCTGTAGCCATGTGGGAGAACTGGAGGAAGCTCCTGGCTTCGGATAGGCCCAGTTCCAGCTATTGTGGCCATTTGGAGAATAAACCAGCAGATGGAAGATCTCTTTCTCTCTCTAATTCTGCTTTCAAGTAACAATGAAGTAAACCTCAAAAAAAAAAAAAAATAGAAGAAGAAAATCAAACCTTAAAGATATGGCATCCAAATACTCTCAGGCTGAATTATAAATTAATTTTGAATATAATTGGGTTGACTAACCAAGTGGTTGCGTGTCATGGATAGAGTTGTTTTCTTTGCTGAGTACTTCACTGACATTCACTGCTTTTTGTTCTCTTTAGGTGACAGTCCTACCTCTCCCAAGGAGGAGGCCCTGACCAGTGCGGTGGACTCGCTTTGCTCCACATCTCCCACCACGACCTCTGTGCCTGGGCCTTCTACCCCAGAAAAAAACCACCTCCTAGCAGACGGAGGGAGCTGTGCGGACTGGGCATCCCCTGTGTAAGTAGCTGCTTCAGTTTGGTGCTGAGGTCAAGCTGGCTTCAAAGTTGATGTGTTCACTGGGCACCAAAGCCCTCTGATACGAGCACCCTTGTTCTGCTAACCAGCAGAGGTGCCCTAGAACAGATCTTTAATGGCGTCTCTGTGTTCTCAGTGGGGAAGGGGTGATGGAATGCTTCTTCACATCTGCTCTGAGTTCAGTTTGCGACTGTTGGGGGCTGTGCAGAGGAACTGTGTTAGTGCCTCATCATTCTCTGAGCTTTTAGAGATTCAAGAGTGCTGACACAGTGGTGATGGCCAGGCTCTCCGAGCTGTTTGTTGGGTGATATTTGGGCTGTATGAATGTTGGGCAGTGCTGTGCTGGCATTTTGCTCTGTTTCCTCTGGAGCATCCTGAGTAATAGATGTCTGATGGGTGATGTACCCAGCTTTTCCTCATGGTTTGCTTTCATGCCAGATATGTGTGGGTCAGCTCAGGTGTAATAGGACAAATGATTCCAATGTGCCATAGCACCCTGTGCTTACTGTGTGAGGGTTTTCCTTGCTGTGTGGTGTGAGGCTGTCAGGTCAATGAAGAAGGGGTGATGTGTGGCCTCTGAAAGGCATTGAATTTCAAAACAAATACTCAGAGGAGAGAGAAAAACAACTTCACTATTAATTACAAGGCCTTACTTGATTAGTCAATCAAATTACATCCAGAAATACATTTATAATTTACCCAGAGGGTAATATATTTTTTTAAATCAGAGTTGCTGAAAATAAATTATAGATAATGATGCCATGTGATCCTAGATGGGCATTCTTAGGACTTTAAAATGGATTGGAAAGGGTTCTTCACATTTCTTGGCTTTTTATAGTTACAGCTGGATTCACATGAAATCATTATGAACTTATTAAATATTAAGAAAGGCTGGAAGAAATTGGGCATGTAAAAATTTGGGGGTGACCTGAGGGCTCTAACAACCTGATTCCAAACCAAAATGAAAGGTCTTACATGGAAAAACATTCTCCAGATGATTTTTTCCCCTGTACAATTATCACATGTGATTATCGTAGAAAGTTCTTGGAAAATTAAAAACAGTTAAAAATTAACCACATTTCCCCCCCATAGCATTCATTTTCAATGAACTTTTGAAGAGCTCTCATATTTATTTAACACACTGAATATTGTTTACAGACTTAAGTTGTAAGTAATTCAGATTGCTGTATGGATGACAGGGACCCAGCCACTTGAACCATCACCACTGTCTCCCTGTGTCTGCACTGGCTTCCTTTCCCATGTGTCCCTGAGGGTCAGAGTTGGATCAGGGCCATGGGCTGCACAGGCAGGAGGTCCTGTGTACAGTGGGTCAGTGTTAACGCTGGAGCCAGGAGTCAGACATGGGTGTTGAACATAGGTGCTAGGAAATGGGACCATGGCATATGAGACATCTTTTTAACTGCTGGGCTAAGCACCTCTCCCCAAAGTTGCTATGAGGTCATCAAAAGGGTATTTGGGGTTTTAAAAAGGAAGCACTGCCAGTCCTAGCTGATGCGCCCCAGTCCATGGAGAGCGGTTGAGTCAGTAATCTTTCTTCCATAGTGGCTTTGATGGAAAGTGACATTATGAGCCAGAGTATAGCCCGTGCTCAGTTCCTAACACGTCCAGGCCTGAAACAAGAAGAGCTTGATATTTTTGGTCATAAATCAAATGAGGAGTGAATTCTCCAGCTTCCTATTCATACAATTGTAAAATGTCATGGAAAGCACTCTAACCTTGAGGGGCCAAAAGGGGAGGGGCAGGGCAGGGAAAGGAGTTGAAACAAGCCTGGACAGGTTTTTGTTGCAATGTAGAATTTCTCCTACTTGAAGAATGTACCTTTTTAACAGATGCAATGGATGAAATACATAAATGTCTAACATGTTTCTCATGTGTCTTCTGAAGCATTTCCTCTTGAGGTGCAGCATTCTGCGTTTCTTAACCATGCTGGAAAGTTTGTAGTGGTCCCCAAACTTGGATACAGGCCAGAGTCAACTCTGAGCCTCCCCTAAACCTACTCTATGGTGCTTCAGCTGAGTTTAGGATTTAGTAGGTCTACGAAGGAGCCTGAATGTTGCCATTTCTCAAAGGTTCCCAGGTTACTGGCAGGAGCCCTAAGGCAAAGGGATCCTCTCCCCATGGTGCTGGGAGCATGTTGATCATATACAGCTTCCTGGGAGGGAAGCTAATTAGGGCAGGCCTTTCACTCCCTATACGCTATTCTAGGTGGTGTCTGCTGGAATGTCTCCTGCACATTCCCATTCCCTCTGCCTACGAAAAAACTCAGCACCTTTTTGACTTGAGACAGTCCCGACCCATTTTCAGGGTTTGATTTAACCTTCACTTCCAGAATCTCTTCCCCTGATATCCTCTCATCTGCAGGACTCTTTAAGTAATACCTTGATCTGCTAATACTCATTATTGGGCATTCAGAGAATATTTCCTTCAAATATTAGTTTGGTTTTTTGCTAGCGTTTGATCTTCCTGTGGTGTGGGTATCTGTATATCCACTATATCTAGTCTTTCCCTTAACCTGATAGGTCATGAAGTTTGAATGATAAGAATTATATCTTATATTGTGAACTTTTGGGTGTAATATTCACATTAAATAGTTACTAATAAATATTCCCATTTTAAGTATGCATTTATGGAAATCCCATTTCTTTCCGTTTATCATGGAAGTTCTCTTAAGTGGGTAGATTTGACTTCTGATCTGTCCTTTTTTCCTTACAAATGGTGATGAAAAGCTTTCTTTAGGAATGGTATAGAATTCATCTCACCCTTTTCATTTTGCTTTGGGTATATGCATTCTCTTCCTGTCTTCCCCTTCATCTCTGTTTACCAACTGTATCACACTGAATATAGAAGGTTCTACCAAATGTTGGCTGAGATTCCCCTTTAAAAATGCAGAGATGGAGGGAGAGTGAGAGTGCTCACCTGCCAGTTCACACCCTCAATGCTTACAGTAGCTGGGGCTCAGGGTGAAGCAGGAGTCCAGAACTCAGTCTGGGTCTACCTCATGGGCTCTAGTACTGCAGCCACCAGGTGTTGCCACTAAGGTGTACCTTAATGGGAGAGAATAGAGAACAGAACTGGGACTTGAATCCATGCACTCCAATAGAAGATGTGGATGTTTCAAGTGGTGATAACCACAAGACCAAACACTCACTCAAGATGCCTTTAAGCATAGTTGCTCTGGGGTTATTTCTACTCCACTTGGTGTTCTGAAAAGAAGGAATTGCTGTTACTGCCTGGTCTTTAACTGCCACGACTGGCTCTGTTCCAGGACAAAGAGTAGACTTTCCTGTCTCAGGACCTGAGGAATGAAGTCCAAACATGCGTGGCAGCTTCAGAGGACCCCTGTAACTCTTGTGTACACAGATGACATAACCTTAGCCATGTGAAGATTTGCAGAGGAAGCCTGTAGCAGCTGTGCTTCTGATGTAGGCAATGGGCAAAAACAGCTGTGGCCTCTGGCAGGTGGAAAATAATGTGGCTGAACTAGGTTTCTGCTGCTGTTTTTGGCTTGTGGGTATTGCTCCTTGCAGCCAATCCATCTGGAGCTATTACTTACCTGCACACAAGGCAAGGAGGTGGGTGACTTCACTGTCAGTGAAGAATTGCTAACTCAGTCTCCTTAGAGGACATTATATCATAGGTCAAGGAATTTCAAATGTTCCAAAGTCATTATCCCTCCAATCAAATAGTTTCCTCTGAGCAATTTTTCACTTTATTGATGGAACCAGGTCCTTGACAAGTGATTCTTTTAGGTTCCCTGCCCCAGAAAAGTAACAGGTGTTGGTCTGTTCATGTGGTGCAGATTTCAAATGGAAAGCCATACCATCTTTTTCTGTCAGCATGGTTCCATATTCAAGATGGTGGTATACTGAAGTAGCTACTTCTCTTTCTTGCTTGACATATTGTAACCTGAGGTACATATCACTCTGGGCCCTGGAAGGCTAGGAAGATCCTCTTACCCTCTCTCACAGCCACGAAGGGAACCACTGGCTTTGCTCTTCCTGAAGGTTAAGAATATTCCTGAATCATCTATTCCAGGTTCTCCCCCATGCTGCTATGGGCCACAAAGATGCATGCCTATCTGAACTTGATGTTGCATTTATTTATTTTTGAGGCCAAGGACAGAAGGAAACAAAGAGTTCCCATTTGCTGACTCTCTCCCCAGCTTCTTGCAATGATTTGCTAGGCCCAGGCCAGTGCCAAGTACCAGGAAACAACCCAGGTCCTCCACAGGATGGCAGGGACTCTACTACTTGGGCTGGGCTGTCTCCTAGGGTCTGCAGGGTGCTGTAACCAGGAACCAACCCCGAGCACTTTGATGCAGGATGAGCACATCTTAACCCTCAGGTGTCATTTCATATCAGGAGACAGTCCTGCCATTGTGCTCTTGTGCAAGTTATCCTCGAGAGAGTCATTCAGAAAGTTCATGGACAATGGAATTAAAGAGTAAATTTATTTTGGTATAGACTCTTTTTTGAGATGTCATCTGTAACTTTTTTGTAGTACATATTTTCCATGAACTTGATGAAGATTCCTAGAAATTATAATATTCTTGTCCTAGAGATAACTCACTTCCCTTAAGTTGGACAAATGTGAATCCCCCCAGAGAGAGCTGTTTGGTATTTCAAATTAATACACTCTTAGTTCCATGGATGCTTTTCAGCAAGTTGATGCATTTTGCTACAAGATACTAAAGTACCCCTTAAATATGATCTGTGGAGTGAGAGTACCACTATAAACTGACTACCCTGTCCAGAGGTCTGAAAAATAGTCCTTTAAAATAGTTTCCAGCAGTTTTTGGTGACATGTGGCTCATACCTGGATATCACACCGTGGACCACACATCTGTCATCTTGCCTCTCAGTTGGCTTTATTGCTCCCAGTCCCTGCTGGGCCTCACTTGAGTCTCATATGGGAGTGCCTGGATTTGAGGCCCAGCTTTGTTCTCAGTGCAGCTTTCTGTT